CACACACATGTTCCCCATCCCCTGACCGCCCCCCAGAACCTCTGCCCCATCCAACCACCCCCTGCTCCCTGTCCCCTGACTTCCCCCCGGGATCCCCCGCCCCTTATCCAACCCCCTGGCCCCAGCCCCCTTACGATGCTGCTCAGAGCAGCATGTCTGGACGCTGCGGCGGTGTGGTTGTGGGGGAGGGGAGTCAGCCGGGAAGGGACCGGGGGTAGCCTCCCTGGCCAGGAGCTCAAGGGCCGGGCAGGATGGTCCCGCGGGGCGTAGTTTGCCCACCTCTTTGCTACAGCCTTGGTGAGGGGCCGAACAATGGGCAGCTGCCATCGTTTGTCTGGGAAGGAACAAAGGGCTGCAGCATCCACGTGAGCGGGTGAAACTCCTCGAGTGGTTAAAGGAGGCCTTAACCGCTGGCACCCCCCTTGCAATGCAGCAGTAGAGCAATTGTGAGCCGCAGCAGTAGAGCAGGAGTTAGACCTGCTTACACCACACTTCAATTTGGCCCGACCACTGAAGGAGCTCTAAGCGCTTCCAAAACACTAGTGAATTAAGCCTCGCCGTGCCCCTACGTGGCAGGGAAGTATTGTTATCCCTGGGTCTCAGACGGGGAAACTGAGTCAGAGTGCGGCTACAGGACTTGCTTTGGGACATTCTGTGGTAGCGCGGGGAATAGAAGCCAGATCTCCTGAGCCCTAGTGCTGCACTTGAGCCGCAAGGCCATCCTGTGTGGCTCAGCTGACCCGCACAGACCTTGTGTGGTGGAGGGGAATCTCGGCCAGAGCAGCAGTGACCGTCGTGGGTCTGTGCGACCTGTGCAGCCGCACAAGGGCCTGTGCTGCTCGGGGCCCTGTTGCTCTCACACAACTGCCTGGCCAGCCAGAACACTGTGCCCCAGGAATAAAAACCTGCAGCACTGAGGACAGGTCTACCCTGAAAACGCTGCATTGGCACAGCTGTGCCGCTGTAGCGCTTACGTGAAGACGCTCCTACACCGACAGGAGAGTTTCTCCCAGTGGCGTAGTTAATCCACCTCCCCGAGAGGCGGCGGCTATGTTGGCGGGAGAAGCTCTCCCATCGATATCGCGCTGTCTACACGAGGAGCTAGCTCAGTATAAGTGTGTCACTCAGGGGGGTGGATTTTTCACATCCCTGAGCGATGTAGTGATACCGATACAGGTCTGTAGAGTAGATGTGGCCTGAGTCTGGGTCCTTGTCTTGGCCTGGCCCTGTCGGGACGTTGCTGAGAATCAGGATGACGAAGGCCTAACAGTGTCATGGTGGGTCCTGGGTCCCAGGAGCTGGTGGGGGTGGCAGCCGTGATGGGGAATCTCGCTCCATTCCTGTTCTCCGGTCTCTCAGCCAGCGGTTGTTGGCAGCGAGTTTCATCCTCTTGACTCTCCCCCACACACTCCTCCCAAAAGTGTTGGGTTTTTTTGAGGACCCCAGAAGGATGCAATGGGTCAACAGCCCTTCCCCTCGTGAATTTGTTCACCAATTAGACCTGATTTCCGACACACCAATTTTGGTCCATTGATTTTCGGTCCAACCCTTCTCTTGGTTACAGGGCATGGCGTTAACACAGTCCCTGAGCTATATCAACAGGCCTTTTTGTTTGGACTCCTTTCCTCTCTGTGGCTTCCCTTTGCACCTTTCCCCATCAACATTTATTACCGTAGGTGTGGTGCTGTTCTAGGGACGTTCACTCCTTACAGCTGAGCTCACAGCTAGGCCCAATTAGTACCACGGGCTTGATCCCGGGAGCATCCTCCATGCTCCACAAGTCCTTGGGATTCGAGGGTGTTCGGCCTCACTCAGCAGTTGGAAGGAGGCTCAACCCCTGGCAATTAGCTGTGATTAACTCCCCAGCTTGAGCTTTGAGTGCCCAACGCTGCCCCACTCTGCAGTGTTTCTGGGGGGCAGTTTAATTAGAGGGGCGCATGCTTTGGTGCTGCTGTGGGATGAGTGTATTGCACACGCCAGGCGCTCCTGGCATCTCTCCATTCCCCTCCCACAAGGCCCCTGTGTTCACACTTCCACCTCCCTTATTTCAGGGTTTCCCTGCACCTCCACTCACACCAGGGGCTCACCTTTCCCCAGAGTCACTGTTCGGTTCGTTTGACTTTTACATCCTTTCTGGTTTTCTTAGCAAATAGCAACATGTTGGGAAGGAGAGACCAGCTCTGGGCTGGAGAGCAGCTAGAACCGGAGCAGACTCAAAGCGTAGCCCCTAAGCAAGCCGAAAGCTTTTCTGAAATCTCGGGAGGTTTGATCAGATGGTTGGTTTGTTGCATTACAACGGTGCCTTGCGTGACAGTGTCCCGGGCAGGTTGTCTGCTGGGATTGACGCTCTGAATCGAAGAGCGTCAGTCTCCACTGCTTGAGTGAAATGAACAGATCCGTTAGCAAAATGGCTGTGGCACCATCCGAAATCTCTGGGGCCCAGCCACTAGAGAGGGGCAGAGAGCCACACATGGCATGGGTTGAACTGGGGCCCCGTGTAAGATCAGGGCCCCGTTGTGCTCGGCGCTGTACAGACGCAGAACCAAGAAGGTGGTACTTGCCCCAGAGAGCTCTCTCACTTTAATGTTTAGTTTAACTGAATGATGGTGCCTGATCGACAGCCCTGGAGACTCATCCTCTGTCTGTCCACAGGACAGGCCCTGTGAAGGCAGCGACGGGACCAGCTCCTCCGCCCCACCTCACCAATGGGCTACCCACACTGCAGGCCTACTCGGTCTCTGGCCTCTCTGAGGGTGACTGCCCCGAGGGAGCCTGTCTGTGGACGTCTGTGACTTCTTGTGTGACCTTGGGGATCTCGGTACCTGTCCATCTCCACAACGGGACGGATGCCAACACCACATGGCCCCTTTGTCTCGCTCTTTGGATGGGAGACGCTGTGTAAGTACAAAGAATTTACCCTGGCTTACCTGACATGGGGTTAGGCCCCCAGGGATGACTGCTCTCCGGCTGCCCCAGCACATGATGGACAGGGGCTGATTGTGCGTCTGTCTAACCAGGGTCTTCCACGGTGCCCCTCCCAGCTGGGAGCACAATGAAGGGAGCGTGTTGTCAGCACTGGTGATCACCCAGTTACAGGGACCATGTGGATGGAGGTGTAGACCTTGCCGGATGGTCTCCTCTGTGCTGCGCTCTGCTCCAGGGGCCTTCAGAAGGCAGGCTGAAGCTAGACCCCCAGGTGGGGAAGGAAGGGACCGATCTGTAGCTTGTCACTCTTGGCTGAGGGAAAGTCCCCAGGGTGGCTACCAGAGGGGCGGTGCAAAGCAGGGAACAGAAATACGAGGAGAACCTCTGCCGAGGCTCCCACCTGGTGAGGGATCACCAGAGCTTTGGTGTAGCGCAGTGTGGGAGACAGACGTGAAGCACTTTTGATGGGGAAAAATCCTTCCAGCTGTGCTGAACCCTGTCCCACCAGGCCTAAAGAGGCAGTTACTGTCAGTGGACTCTACTTAGCCCCTCCCCCCCCCCGGCCCCAGCTCCCTGTACATCAGGGCATAGGGCTGGTGGATCCATGTGGGTCGGAGACCCTCCTTCCCCAGAAGGGTCTCCGATCTCAATCCATCATCAGAGCCATGCACAGAGAGCCCCTGCACAGCCATGATCTGTAAGGCCTATGCCAGAGCGTCTCTACAGACTCCACAAATCCTGCGCCCGGCACCCTGCAATGGATCTGTTGTGACTATCTTGCAGCCCCAGAGGAAAGGATCAGGATTTTCCTACATAAGAATAGGGGTTTTCCAAAGTGCACATGGCCAAAATGTCCCCACTGTGAGCTGTCTTGTTGCTGTGCTCCGCACCAGAGGTGGCTGCATCTCCGTGGCGCTGCGTGTCTGTGGCTGGTGATACATTAGGATTACGCTTTGGGATCCTTCGGGGGAAGGTGACATCACAATGTTACGTTATCTGGGAGCTGCACTTTGATTCCATCTCACCAATATGCACAAGTTGTACGCTGGTGCTAATCAGCCAGCATGACCGCAGGGCCTGTCTTGCGGCAGTGATGCTGTGTGACTTGTAAGTTCCCTCAAAGCATTGTGAAATAACCTGCGATCTCAGAGTCCGAGTCAACTGACTGAGGCTCGTGCTGCAGGGCTAAAACTAGCAGTGTAGACATCCAGACTCGGGTCGGACCCAGGCTCTGAGACCCACCCCGTCGCCAGGTTTCAGAGCCCAGGCTCTAGCCCAAGCCCGGACGTCTACACTGCTATATGTAGCCCTGCAGCTCAATCCCAGGTTTACTGTGTACGTGCCTCCCCCCTGCCCCGCCCCCAGTGAGGCCTTACTGAAGTCACTTTTCCCCCTTTATCCTAGCAGAAAGTTTCCTGGGAGTTGCAAGGACATGGAGGTGGGGAACCTGACGGAGACGTGGTACCAAAGCCTGCAGTCAATGCTGAAGGCCCTGAACCAAACACTTCATGGTGCCATCCTGTGCCCACCAGACCAGGCCACGGGGCGGACAAATGGCAGTCACATCAAGCTAGCCAGCAAGGACGACTATTCCTACATGTACATCTTGTTCGTGATGATCCTGTTTGCCGCCACAGTGGGGAGTTTGATTCTGGGCTACACCAAGTCCAGGAGGGTGGACAAGCGGAGCGACCCCTACCACGTGTACATTAAGAACAGGGTGTCTATGATCTGAGCAGGGCAGGGACACTGTTGCAAGGACATGCACAGCTACCGGCATCTGCCTCCTGCAGCAGGAGAAACCCTTTTCCCTGATCCAGTCAAACTCTTCTCGGAGGGGCCGACACACGTCTTGCTACGAGACAGCCACGCGGACACATTTAGTGCAGAGGAGCAGCAGCAGGCATGATCTTGCACACAGGCAGAGAGCGCCAGACCTTAGAGGCCGCAGAATAGTCATGTGACGGCTCTGGACGCTCGCCAGCAGGCCCGTCCTGGATCGCTCTGCACCAGTTGCGAAGTTCCCGCCAACCTCCTTCTCCTCCAAAGGAGCGTCTCCATTTACACCAAAGGGCCCGGGGATAGGCTAATGGAAGGTCTTAAGTGTATCCCAGAATCCTTTGCTCCCATGCAAAGGTGCATGGGATGCGTGTGAGTGCTGCAAGTTCTTAGTTATTGTGATGTTGGACGCCATATGAGATCATAGAGAAATGGATGCGGAGATCACGGTGCACACAGCTCAACAGCGAGTGGGCTCCTGGCTCGGGCAGAGCATGACACAGTTTGGGGACTGGGTGGGAGCACAAGGGGAGGGCCCCTCTTGTCTCCACCTAGAGTCCAGAACGTTGGTGCTGGGACCCGGCATCGGTGTGCGGAGATGCCTCTGTCAACAGAGCAGAGAATGAATGGCTGGCGGATGAGCCAATCGGATGGTTTAATTTGTCCCTCCACGTCCTGTCAGCCTCTCGCTATGCATGTGCAGCCTGGAGTCTGATGGGGCTCTGAATAGGGAGGCCTCCCATTCTCAGGGCAGCAGCCAGAGAACAAATCCGAGAGAAGGGAAAACGTTCTGTGGGGCTGATCTCGAGAGGGGCTGAGCGCACACAGCTCCCACTGGTCTCTGTCCCGAGGGCCAAAAGGGTCCGTACGCCACGTAAGCTGTGTTCCCTGCACTGGGTAAACTGTTGTGCATTTTAATAAATCCAAGGCCACGTAGCGCACACAGTTGTTGGCTACCCAGAACTTCCTGGGGACAGCAGAGATGGAGCTCAGTTCCTCCTATTGCAAAAGCACAGGCTTCTACGTTTGTCGCTGAAAGAGACTTGTTAGCAATATAAGGCCTATGATATACAGTTGTAGTAGTAGGATTTTATGTTTGTATTTTGTATAATTTAAAATGAAAAATAAAGAATAATAATGTAGCTTGTGTTAAATGTATTGGTGTGTGATTTGATCATATCCTGCCAGCCACCCTTTTTGAATAGCAGAAAGGAATGGCCTAATGGGCCATTTGGTAAAGCTGCATCAGCCGGAATCTGTGTCTGGGCTGATTTCAAGGCAGTAACAGACGTTTTAAGGTCACCACTTTGTTGTAGGTTTAGCATTTTAAAATCAGTAAAAGAATGCCATGATTGTTTTCTTTTGCATTGCAACTTGATGTTCCTGTCCAAAATGTTCTGTGTAAATTAATTCTGTTTTGTGTGTAAATAAGAAATGTGTGTGTTAAGAGATAAGTGTGAAGGGCATCGCTGAACCAGATGGTCTAGGAAGGAACCGGAGACAGACGCAAGGGCGCCAGGAGGCTGCAACACGCCCCTATTGAAATGTCAGAGGAGGGCAGATTAACAACTCTAAAAATGAGACAGGCACCTATCAATGGGGACAAAATAGCTGCGATCAAAACCAGCCTGGGAGAACTCCCTAAAAAACTTCATAAAAAACCAAAATAAAAAGTAAGGAGGACAGTTTAAGAAAACAAGCACTCGTCAAACAATTGATTACAGCATGATGGTGCAAAACTCATTGGTCCCAATAAAGGAAAATCACTATGTAAACAGGGTGCCTTGCCATGAAACTTTGGGTTCGTCCTGCCAAGACTTCCCCGGAGCATCATGTCGCGGCCGACAGAACCCGGCTCCTCCCTAACCGTGATCAACCTAACGGGCCACTAGATTGATCCGGACTCTAAACTGGTAACTATAACATAGACTGGCAGTGTGTGTGTGTGGGGTGTGTGTGATTGAATGCATATGCTAATTGTTGTATCTTCAATAAACGCAGTGTATTGCCGTTTCCCCTGAAAAAGATCCCGTGGGCTTCTTCTAAGCAGAACAGTTTTGGGTGGAGAATTGCGAAAGGGGGAAGACCTGCACTGTGATTGAACATACAGTAATTTCTAACTTAACGTCGTAGTTCTGTTCCTGAAAAATGCGACTTTAAGTGAAACGATGTTAAGGGAATCCAATTTCCCCATAAGAATTAATGTAAATGAGGGGGTTAGGTTCCAGGGCAGCTTCCCCGACTCTGCAAGCACCAGGCGCGGGGGGCTCAACCCTCAGCCCGTCCACTCTACCCCTTCCCCCCCACCTCCTCCCCCTTTACTTCGCATGCTGGGTCCTGGCTCCTCCCCCGTCCCTTCTAAACACCGCAAGCCAGCTGATTGACGTGTTCGGGAGGCAGGGGAGGGAGGGGGGAGGCACGCCGAGTTCTGGCTCCTCCCTCCTGCCCAGGGCAATCAGCTGGCTTGCAGCATTTAGGAGGCAAGAGGGAGGGGGGAGGAGCAAGGTCTTAGCGCAGGCTCCCCCCCACCCACCTCTTGCCCGTGGCAATCAGCTGGCTTGCGGCGTTCGGGAGGCAAGGGGAGCCTGCGCGCCGAGTCCTCGCACCTCCCCCCTCCTTCCTGCCTCCAAAATGCCACAAGCCAGCTGATTGCCCCGGGCAGGAGGCGGGGGAAGGCGCTGATCCACGGGGTCTGCTGGTGGGCGGGAGGCGCTGGTGGGGGGGGGGGGGTGGCATACGGAGGCTGCCAGCTGTGGAGAAAGCAGGCAGCCAAACAATGTAAGAGTGGAGCATTGCACAACTTTAAATGAGCATGTTCCCTAATTGACCAGCAGCGTAACAACGTTAAGCGGGATGACTTTAAGTGAGCAGTTACTGTACTGCTAAATATTGCTACAAGGTTATGCCATCCATATAAAGTGATGGATCATTCAGGTGTGCACA